GGGGGGGGGGGGGGGGGGGGTGGCAGCGGGGAGGTCTGGGGGGCAGGGGGCAGTGAGAAGCTCAGGGGAAGGGACAGTGGAGGGAGGCCAGGGGGACAGGAAACAGTGAAGGGTGCCAGGGGGCAGGGAGCAGGGGAGGGGTGATGGGGGGGCAGGGAGCAGTGGAGGAGTGCTAAGGGGGTAGGGAGCAGGGGAGGGGTACTAGGGGGGCAGGGAGAAGTGGAGGGGTGCCAGGGGGACAGGAAGCAAAGAGTGGTGCTGGGGGGGGGTAGGAAACAGTGGAGGGGTGCTGGGGGAAGGGAGCAGGGAAGGGGTACTAGGGGGGCAGGGAGCAGTGGAGGGGTGATGGGGGGGCAGGGAGCAGTGGAGGGGTGCCAGGGGGCAGGGTACCCACCCTGGTGGAAGGCAGCAAATGTGATCAGAATCTCCCTCAGTTTCAGCAGCTTCACCAGCCCCTGGCGCCTGCAGAGAGCCACAGGAGAGTGTGAGCCCAGCGGGCGCATGGCACCATTGGGGGGTGAGCTTGGCGGGCACGTGGCCGCATTGAGGGGGGTGATCCTAGCGGGCTGATGGCACCATGGGGGAGTGAGCCCAGCAGGTGCATGGCACCATTGGGGGGTGAGCTTGGTGGGCACGTGGCCGCATTGAGGGGGGTGATCCTAGCGGGCAGATGGCACCATGGGGGAGTGAGCCCAGCGGGCGCATGGCACCATTGGGGGGTGAGCTTGGCGGGCACGTGGCCGCATTGAGGGGGGTGATCCCAGCGGGCTGATGGCACCATGGGGGAGTGAGCCCAGCAGGTGCATGGCACAGGCTGTCCTCATGGGGGTGCCTACATGGCATTGGGGTGGCTCTTCCTGGGGACATGTGGCACCAGGGCAGGGGTGGCTGTGCTGGTTAGCATGTAGGACTGGGGTAGTTGTGAGGGGCCTGTGTGGCACTGTGGGGGAACTGTTTGGTGGGTGAGTGGCACTGGGGGCTTTGCCTGGTGAGTGCGTGGCATTGGGAGGTCGGTGCAGGGGCCTCTGTGGCAGGGGGCAGCTGTGCCCGGTGGGTGTGTGGCACTGGGGCGGGGTTTGTGGGGGAGCCTGCATGGCATTGGGGAGCTTTGCCCAACAGATGCATGGCACTGGGGGGGGGGGCTCATGAAGGAGGGTGGCTGTGCTTGGAGGGGGTGTGGCACTGAGTGGACTTTGCCCAGCAGAGGTGTGGCACAGGGATGGTTGCGGGGGCTGCATGTCACTGGGGGACTGTGCCCAACACAAGCATCGCACTGGGGGTGAGCCTCATGGGGGGCTGTGTGGCAGCGGGTGGATGTGCCCAGTGAGTATGCGGCAATGGGGGGGCCTCTTGGGGGGCTGCATGGCAGTGGGCGGCTGTACCTCATGTGGCGTGGCACTGAGGGGACTTGAGGGGGGGCTGTGTGGCAGCGGGCAGCTGAGCCTGGCGGGTGTGCAGCACTGGGGGAAGGTTTGTGGGGGGGCTGCGTGGCAGTGGGTGGCTGTACCTGGCAGAGCGTGGCACTGGGGGTGTCACAATGTGGGGGCTGTGTGTCAGCAGGCGGCAGTGCCTGGCATGGAAGCAGGTGGTAGCAGGTGACAGTACCTAGTGGGGTGTAGCACTGGGGGGGTGCATGGCAGCGGGCAGCGATGCCTGGCACAGCAGGGCACTGGGAGCAGGGCACTGGCATGGCAGCAGGCAGCGATGCCTGGCACAGCATGGCACTGGGAGCATGACACTGGCCTGGCAGCGGGGGGCACAGCAGGGCACTGGGAGCATGGCACTGGCATGGCAGCAGGCAGCGATGCCTGGCACAGCATGGCACGGGGAGCATGGCATTGGCATGGCAGCAGGCAGCGGGGGGCACAGCATGGCACGGGGAGCATGGCATTGGCATGGCAGCAGGCAGCGGGGGGCACAGCATGGCATGGGGAGCATGGCACTGGCATGGCAGTGGGCGGCAGTGCCCGGTGGAGTGCACTCACTGGAAGAAGCTGCGGTGCCGGTCGGTACGGGGCACATCGGCATCAATGTCCCTCAGCGATGCCCAGAACTGGGGCTGGTTGATGCTCTGGAGCCACAGGCCGTGCTGGCGGGGGAGAGGCTACATTAGTATTCGGCCCAGCAGTGGTGCCTAGCAGGGTACTCTGGTGCTCAGGGCATGGAGAGGGGGCTGGGGACCAGGACTCCTGGGTTCTTCTCCTAGCTCCAGGAGCACCCACCCTGCCCATTGAGCATGGAGCCCAGTCCCTGTGGCCTATGCAGCCCTGGCATTCCCTGCTTGGAGTGCCTGTGCCAGTGGGGCGGCTGCTCGCCCCTGAGGAGCTGCACCTTGGTACCAGCTCCTTCCACACTGCCTTCCCCTTGGCCATTGCTGCTGGCTGCTCTGTGCCACCCCGGGCTCCTGCCTGCCGTGCCCCAGCGAGCCAGCCACCCCGTCCAGCCACGGCTGGCACAGATGTCTCACCTCCGCGGGCACCTTGGCCGCTTCCATCTCCCGCTGCTCATATTTCTTGATGGCCAGGGACAGCTCCACTGTGGGAAGGAGAATGGGGTCGGTTTTAGCCAACAGGACCAGGCTCAAGCTCTTTAAGGAGGAGGAGCTCTGTTGCTGGGAGGAGCTGTTTGGTGGGAGGAGCTGTGGGGCTATAAATTGAATGTGTTGTGTGTCCATGTTAATCAGTGGCTGGGCTGGTGGTTAGGAAGAACTGACCTGCCCCTGCCCCTGCCCCTGCCCCAAGTTGTAGGAAAGAGATCTTTGCTGAGTGAACTTGGCCTCTAAAATGTGGGGGAAGCAGATGAGCCTCATCCCCCCAAACTTCCCCCCCCATTGTACCCCCATCTCCCCATTCAGATCTGCCTCCAGCTCGGTCCCCTGATATCCTGGGAGCTGGAGGGTTGGTTTGGGGAACACTTACGGTCTGACTGCACCTTCATGCGCCTGGCGCTGGGGAACTGCTGTTTCCAGGCATTCTTCATGCTCCTGTAGCGAGCGACCAGCTGCTGGTCCAGCCGGCGCCGCTCCTCAGTGGTGGAGTCCGCGGGGTACACACCGAAGAGAAACTTCCAGGTGACCTTCCGTTCACTGGCATCTGTGCCTGAGCCCCCAGCCCCCCCACAGAGCATGAGATGGGACCGGACTGGACCACGGAGACCCAGCTACACACTCATAGAACACTGACTATGTGGGGGCAGGGAACCAGGACTCCTGGGTTCCCTCCCTGGGTCTGAGAGGGGAGTGGTGTCTAGTGGCTAGTGCAATGGAGCTTGGAGCCAGGACTCCTGGGTTCCCTCCCTGGCTCTGGGAGAGGAGTGGTGTCTAGTGGCAAAGAGCATGTGGAGCCTGGGCGCCAGGACTTCTGGGTTCTAGCCCCAACTCAGGGAGGGGAGCTGTGTCTAGTGATGAGAATGGGGGGAGTGGTTGGTAGCTTGTCCTGGGGACTGATGGGAAATGTAGTCACCTCCCTAGTGAGGCAGCTGGAACACAGCCTCAGGAACACAGAGTTTGGGTTTATTTTTTATTTCTATTCATCCCTGAGATCTCTGACCAACGTGTATCCGTTAACACAGCTCTGCTGCCTGTCTGGCATGTAGCTGCTAACCCACTGTGCCAACCACTATGGCACAGCAGTGCCCTCTCTTCACATCAACATACCCAAAGCGCTTGACCAAGGAGGTCAGTTTCATTATTGCCACTGTACAGTTGGGGAAACTGAGGCACAGAGTGGCGCAGTGACTTGCTCAAGGTGACCCAGCAGGCTAGTGGCAGAGTGGGCACAGAACCCAGGAATTCTCTGCCGGATCTGGGCTCCTCCCACCACCCCAGCCCCGCACGCACCTGTCTCATAGACCACCTTGCGCAGCCCAGCCAGGTCCAGCCTGCCTGCCCCATCGAAGAGGCTCTGGATGGAGCTGGTGGCTGGGAGCTGGGGTTCTGGCCCGTGGGTGCAGGTGCCGTCCTCATCCTCGTGTCTCCTGGGCGGCTGCTCCTGGATCTCGCTCCAGTCCCCTGTTCCTGCTGCGCCCCTCTGCCACGTGGCCACGATGCGCCTGCTGCGAAGGGGGCCAAGGGTGATTAGTGCTTCCTAGTCAGGAATCCCCTCTGCCACAGCGCCCACTAGAGCTGCATGGTGGGAGGAGAGAGCGCCCCCTACTGATCCCCCACCCCACGCTGTGCAGCACAGCGCCCCCTAGTGCCGCCCGGAGGTCAGCACTGACTGAGGGAAGAGCGCCCCCTACTGAGCCCCTACCCTACTCACTCCAGCACAGCACCCCCTAGAGCTGCATGGTGTCAGCACTGAGTGGGAGGGGAGAGCGCCCCCTACTGAGCTCCCACCCCACTCTGTGCAGCACGGCGCCCCCTAGTGCTGCACTGGGGCATTGGGATCAACACAGGTTGCCTTTGAGTTTAACAAGGAACGTCTCTCTCCACCTAACACACGCGCTAACCATCTCTCTCCCCCACGCCCTGGCTCTAGCCCCAGGCCAGGTGCCTTTATCTGTGGAGTCCCCTGACCTGGTAGGGGCACCGTCATGGTCTCTGGGCCATGGGTGCAGGGCCCGCAGGAGCCGGCAGCCGGGTACTCTGTGGAGGGCACGCTCCGCCAGACGCAGCAGGAAGCTGATGGAAGCCCTGGTGGGGTCACATACAAACTGGGGTCAGGGCCTGAGGCCGGCTCAGGTTTTCTGTTTCCCAGGAACTCATCGCTCACCTCAGGGCCCTGAGCCAGTACAGCAGGAGCCGGAGCACCACCCCGCCCTTCATCTTCCGGAGCCCTACACTCCGCTTGGTGCCATAGGTGTGGGGGATCCTGGAGCAGCGGGGGCCATGGGTGGCAGGGGGTCAGTCACAGCCTTCCCCCAGGCCATTCTCCCCCACACCCAGGGGATGTCACAATGGGGCCCTTGTGCTGCCTGTTGCTAGGGAAATGGGGGGTTCCACCATGGCTGGAAAGTCAATGGGCCCATCTGGCCCGGCCTCTGGCCTCCTGCTGTTGCCATGGTACTGTGGGGAGGTGCTCTGATCTCCATAGGAGAGGCCATTTATTGCCAGTGTCAGAGGAGACCAAGGGTCCATCCAGCCCGGTATCCTGCCTCCTCCTGAATTCAAATTCACCCCTCATCTGTTTGGAGCTGTGGATTCTGCAGCTTGGCTCCCAGTTGGGGGGGTGCTGGCAGGAGCTGGGGGCTGGCACCTTCACCCACCTCTATGGGGTGTCTAGGGAGGATGGTGTTAGGGGTCAGGGATGGCTCTGTTCTCCCTTCTCCCTCTGTGTTTGTAATATACCAGCTGAATGCCTGGGCGCATGTCACCCTCTTGTGGCCAAGCCCAGCTACTACACCAGCCTGCTCCTCACCCAAGCTGTAGCGTGGCTGGTTCGATCCCTGGGGCGGATGGATGAGCCTCTGGGGCTGCTGCCCTTACCTGGGGTTTGGTCCCCTGGGAGTATCTGCTCCCAGCTGGGCCGGCTGCCTCTGTGCCAAGGAGTCGTCCCCCCAGCAGAAGAGGCTGGGCCAAGGAGCAGCTGGGGATCAGTTTGCTCATTAGTGCTGTGTTCGTTAAGGCTTCACCCCTGCCACAGGAGACCCCCCCTCCCACATGCAAGGGATAGTCAGTGTGACACACACACCCCCCCCCGCTGCCCGGGAGCAGAGTGAAACGAAACCACAAATCATCCCTGTGGAGCTGTGTGTGTGGGAGAGAGATCGAGGTGTGTGTATGTGAGAGCTGGGAGTGTGGGCAGGGCCGGCGCTTCCATTTAGGCGACCTAGGTGGTCGCCTAGGGCGCCAGGATTTGGGGGGGGGGGGTGAGGCATTTTGCCACCCTTGGCAGCAATTCGGCGGCGGGGGGGTCCTTCCGTGCTCCGGGTCTTCGGCAGCAGTTCTGCGGCGGGTCCTTCATTTGCTCCGGGACCCACTGCCGAATTGCCACCACCGACCGGGAGCGCAGAAGGACCCCCGCCTAGGGTGCCAAAAACCCTGGCGCCGCTCCTGGGTGTGGGTGTGACACACTGTGGGGTGGGTGTGCTGTGGGGGGTGGGTGTGACATTGTGGGGTGGTGAGAGCTGTGGGGTGTAGGTGTGACACACTGTGGGGCGTCTGTGTGACACAGTGTGGAGGGGTGTGTGGTGTAGTGAGGGCTGTGGGGCGTGGGTGTGACACGGTGTGGGGTGTGACACTGTGTGGAGGGGTTGTGGGGAGGTGAGAGCTGTGGGGCGTGGGTGTGACACACTGGTGGGGCGTCTGTGTGACACAGTGTGGAGGGGTGTGTGGTGTAGTGAGGGCTGTGGGGCGTGGGTGTGACACGGTGTGGGGTGTGACACTGTGTGGAGGGGTTGTGGGGAGGTGAGAGCTGTGGGGCGTGGGTGTGACACACTGTGGGAGTGTGGGGGTGACACTGTGTGGAGGGGTGTGTGGGGTAGTGAGGGCTGTGGGGCGTGGGGGTGACACACTGTGGGGTATGGGGGTTTGACACACTGTGGGACATGGGTGTGACAGTGTGTGTGGGTGTGACACATTGTGGGGTGTGGGGGTTTGACACACTGTGGGACATGGGTGTGACACTGTTTGTGGGTGTGACACACTGTGGGTGTGATGTGCTGTTTGGAGATGTGGGGTGCACAGGCGTATGCAAACACCACCGTCCTCTGCTGGATGGAATCAGAGCTGCTCCCTGTGTGTCACAGGCCCTGCACTGCTGGCCCCGAGTGCGGCTCACCGGCAGTGCAGGGGTGGGGATGGCAGGGTACGGGATGGGATCTCGTCTCACAATGCTTCCTGGGCCACCTGCTTGGACACAGGCCGGGAGCTGGGGCCATTGCCCAAGGCGGAGGCCTGGGGATCAGGGCGCCAGCTCCTCCTGCTGCAGGGACAGCTCACACCCGTGGCCCCTCGCCCAGGCTCGGGTTGGAGGCAGCAGCCGGGGCTGGCGGCTGAGCTGAGGAGCCTGGTCCCTGAGCCGAGAGGCCGAGTGTAAATTACCAGCCCCTGCGCTGGATGATTTGTGCTGTGATTAAGCTGCCTCTCTCGCGGTGCCGCCAGCTCAGCCAGGCTCCCGGTGACCTATGGAAGGGATGGCGGGGGGGGGGCAGCCAGGGGAGGGAGATTAATGTTTCATCAAGGGCAAAGCCCCCCACCCTCCGACTCGCTGGGCCGCAGAGCGGGGCTTGCATACAGATGCGGCGTCCGGCTCCAGCCCCTCTGGGGCGCTCTGCGGCTAAGCCCTGGGGGGCCGTGTCCTGCCGTGCCATCTGGGCCTGGAGGGGGCGCTAGCTGCTAATTCAAGTTGGGATTCTGGCCCCCTCCTTTAATAATCCACCCTCAGGCCTGGAGCGATGCCTCCCCCCTATTGAGCCTTACATGTGATCCCCTCCCCAGATGAAGTCAAATCCTCAGTGTGCCCTGTGAGGGGAGAGATGAGCACTGTGTGGGTCACAGCTGGTCCGATACCAAGGTGGTGGGTGCTATGTAAGAATCAGAAGCAAAAGACAGCCTTGCCTAGTAGGTAGGAGCAGTGAGCCTGGACTCTGCCACTGACCTGCTGGGTGACCTTGGGCAAGTCCTTTCACCCCTCTGTTCCTCAGTTTCCTCTCCCACCCTCTGTCTATTCAGACTGAGAGGTCTTTGGGGCATGAACTGTGGGGTGGTGCAGCCATGGGGCCCTGATCTCAGGTGGGGGCTGCAAGAGTGAAGTTGGTTTATGGAGGGGGGAGACCAAGCCACGATTTGCTGGTTGAATCAGCAAAGGAACAAAACTGTTCCCCTGAATAACATCCGGCAGCAGGGAGTTCCACAGGTGAGCCTCTGAGGGCTGCTCCTGCTGCCACGAGGTCACACCTAGCAAGGGGGTGGCTGCAGCACAGGGCGGGCAGGGCAGGACCCATCCAGCTGGGTCTCCCTGCTCCCCACGGTACCCCTGCCCCCTACTTCTTCCCCCCAGGGTCCTTCTGCCTCCCCCCCAGAGCAGGTGGGTTTTGTGTTCTTCACACAACGCACAGTCAACCTGTGGAACTCCTCGCCAGAGGATGTTGTGAAGGCCAAGACTATAACAGGGTTCAAAAAATAACTAGATAAGTTCATGGAGGATAGGTTCCATCAATGGCTATTAGCCAGGATGGGCAGGGATGGTGTCCCTAGCCTCTGTTAGCCAGAAGCTGGGAATGGGCGACGGGATGGATCACTTGATGATTCCCTGTTCTGGTCATTCTCTCTGGGGCACCTGGCATTGGCCACTGTCAGGAGACAGGAACCTGGGCTAGATGGACCTTTGGTCTGACCCAGTAGGGCCGTTCTTACCCCCATTGCTGAGGGTGAATTCCAAATTGCTGTCTCCTGGAACCAGCGCAAAGGCAGGGCTGAGCCCAGCCCCTAGTCGCCTGAACAAAAACTGGTGGGGGGCAGAATTGTCTAGTGGTTAGAGTGGGGTTGGGGGAAAATCGGCGATCCAGGATTCCTGGCTTCTATCCCCTTCTCTGCTCCCTGCCAGGCTGGCTGTTACCCGGTGCTGACGCCAGTCTCACTGTGTGCTATCAGTGCAGGATAGAGCTTGCGGGTCCCAGGGGAGCGAGTGCAGGGAAAGGGAGGGGACAGGCAGTGGGGTCCAGGGCTGGCCCAGCTCACCCACCTCTGGCAGGAGGCATCAGGTTTCCAAGCTAGGTGTCATGGAGGCGGGGAGAGTATCCTGGAGCTGGGGAGCTGGCTGGATCCCCCATGGCCCCTGCCTCCATCCTGTCTCCCCATAGACAGTCGCGTGGGGCCATGGCACCTGCCAGCACAGTGGGCGTTGGACGCTATGGGAAGCTGGGGTGGTCACAGTGCCCCCTGGTGGCAGAACAGGATCACTGCAGGAATTCCTCTCCCCTCAAGTCTTTCCAACTGGGCTTTGGGCTCCCTTGCTCCCCGAGCAGGGGGAGGGGGGCTGGCTGGGCAGGGGCAATGGACGATGGCAGAGGGGAGGGGGTGGATTTATTGCTCCTGACAGGGAGGGAGCCATCTGGCATTGGCAAGAGAGCGAAAGGATGGCGTGAGCTCCCTGCTCTGCTGCTGCTCCTCA